GCCAGCTTCTGTGCAGGCAACGCAGTGATCACAGATGCCTGAGTCTCCTTTGTTCGTCCTCAAGGAAGCTTTGGGCCTTGCTTTGGAGGCGCTTCACTGGCCATTTTACCAGGCAGCCGTATGCTCCAGCCACCAAATTGTCGTCCTTTCTTCTCTCCTTCTCTCTTTCCCACGTTTCTTCCCGCCTTATGAATGGCCACCCTGGATCAAATTGGCTTTGTGGCCTCTGTCTGCCTTGGGAGTTGGGTTGCTGCACCACAGCCAGCATGATCAGAGGCTCACGAAGGTGTCTTTACAGCTGGGGGCCTTGCCGGCACCCCCGATGGTGTGAGCATGTAGGCACGTGCCAGCATGCGCCTGACACTTACGCACGTGTGTGCATGTGTGACCTTGTCCACATAGCGGTAACTGCTGCAGAAAGTCCTGGACTCTCCCATCGCCCCGCTCTCTCATCTAGAGCCTGGCCCCTGCTACTTCAGTATACAATGTCATTCCTACTCTTCTAACTTCTTCCCATGGCTCCCTAGAAAGGGGTTAAGCCAACTGCTGTGGGTGGACATCCTGCTTCTGCATCAGTCACTCACTCCTCCCCAGCACCTCAGGAGCTCCCGGCTAGCACCTGTGGGCCCAGCAGGGTCTCTGCGTGCAGGGCCTGTCAGCACTTAGCAGTGCCGGGGAGACCAGGGCACCAGCCCTGGGCAGCACTGACAGCAGCCTGGTCCTCCAGTGAGGCCCGGGACCTGCACTTCATCTGTGTCTTCCAAGGACAGTGAGCCAGGCCCCCAGGACAGTCCCGTCCACAGCAACCATGGAGTAAGGGGCTTCAAGGTCTGAGCCTTTGGGGACTTGTGGCTGCACATTGTCATCCATTAGCCAGCCCGGGGCACGAGTGTCCTTTGTGGGTGTGAAGCCCTAGTGAGCCCTTCTCTGGGGCCGGCGCCATGGCGGTGAGTTTGATGCCAGCCCTGAACTCTGAGCCAGCTTCAGAAGACACGGAGGCTGGCTCAGCGCCACCTCTCACACAGCAATGCTGGGGGTCGTGGGAACCACCTGCTCAGCACAGCCCAGAGAGCCCACGTTCAGTCACATCCCGGTGCATAGAGGCCTGGGGCAGGTTAATTAAAGTTAACTGAGTGAAAAAAATAATTACAGAGACTGCAGAGGGGAGAAACCCAGACCTGCAATTTAACACTCCTCAGCCCCTGAGCTTTTCTCAGAAGCACTCTAGTCCTTGGAATTTTTTCTGGGCCCGGGAGGGAGGGGCATCTCTCTTCATCACTTCCTGCCCGGGGCCGTGAAGGCTGGATGCACAGGGTTGGTACATGGGGTGTCCTCCCTCAGTGCACGGGTGCCCGGTCAGGGATGGGTCCCTGGCCAAGCTCCGCATCCTCGTGCAGAGCAGCACACCTGGACTGGAAGCGTACAGCCACAGAAGCTGCTGGGAGCTGCCACTTGGCCTCGGCCTCCCTTGGGCACTGCCCTGTGTCAGTGTGGAGGGCCTTCACAAGGGCTTCTTGGGTGGAAAGAGGGTGGTGTCCCAGGACCCAGGCCAGTAGGGCTGGTTGAAGGTAAGGGGACAGAGTGGCTGCCTCTCAAAGGGGAGGTCCCTTGGGTACCTGCTGCCTGTCCAACCCAGGCTTTCCATGCAGACACGTCTTCGGCACCTCCCCCCTGCTATCCTACACGCTGCCCACTGCAGGCATGCCCATCCTTCCTTGGGCCAATAGCTTTAAGGAAACGCTTCTTGACCCACAGGCTGGCCCAACTGGGGGTAACTGGCTGGTATTTGGAGCCCTGGTGGTGAAATGGTTAAGAGCTTGGCTGCTAACAAAAGGTCAACAGTTCAAATCCACCAGCTACACCTTAGAAGCCCTATGGGCAGTCCTATAGGGTCGCCGTGAGTCGGAATCAACTCGGTGGTAACAGGCTTTTTTCTTCTTTTTGGTTTTGGTTGGTATTTAGGTGAGGCTAATGGTTAAACGCTAGGCTGTTAACCAAAAGGTTGGTGGTTCAAATCCACCTAGAGGCACCTTGGAAGACAGGCCTTGTGATCTGCTTCTGAAAGTTCACAGCCTTGAAAACTCTGTGGAGCACAGATCTACTCTGACACACATGGGGTCATCATGAGTCAGAATCAATGTGATGGCAACAGGTTTGTTCTTTGGGCAGGTTGGTTGGTATTTGGAATTTCTTTCTCAGCCCTTCAGGAGGAACCCAGGAGAGCAGCCTCCCTGGGTCTCCAGTGGCCACAGCATCAGGGCCCATCACTAAGGCTGAACGTCATGGCCAGCCTCTGAGCTTGGGTCAGAGGCATGTCCGGCTGCCTCATGAGGAGCAGGCCAGTGGTGGTCTGGCCAAGTTTCAGCTCTTCTGGGATAGCTATCCAGTGGGGCTTCAAAAACGACAGCTCAGGCTGGTGTGGAGAGAGTGACTGGGGCTGGGGGCAGTCAGTCTGTTCCTGAGTGTCCTCTGGGGCTGGGAGGCTTGTTCTGAAGGCCTCTTGCTCCACGGAGACCCTGGTCCACAGCATTCCCAGGAAAGAGTAACAGTGGAGGTAGATCCAAGGGCCTCTGTATCCACAAGGCCATTGTGAAGGACAAGGGTTGGATTCCTGCCTGTGTCCTAGACCCTGTAAGGGGAGCACTCATGCTTGTATGGAAGCTCAGCCTGGACAAGTGCGAAGGTGGCCACTGGTCACCTGCTGTGGCCCGCAGGGCCCCATGCGGGGCTTCCCCAGGCAGGTTCTGGAGAGTGTCCTGCTCTGTGGTTTTCTAGGAGTGCAGATACAGGAGGCCCTGGCAGGAAGCTGGTTTCCTGGCACAGGTGGTGACAAGACTTCCTTCCACCTCCTTTTGGGCTTGAAAAGCTGGAAGGGACACACTTGAGAAGCCTCTGGGGGGATCCATGCCACGCCTGGGTCACATGCAGTGACGGGCTAAGCCCACGCTGGGGGTGCCCTGTAACTCGGTGGTGGACGCTCTTTCTCCTCTTCTTCCCTGTAGACGTGGCCTGATGGATGCCCGGTGTGGACGATGAGGGACGAGCGTGCCTCCCACACCCCAGAGGTGACCCCAGAGCGAGCCCCGGATGCCCCTGCGACCCGGAACCATGCACCTGGCCTGCATGTTCTCCTCCATCCTCCTGTTTGGAGCCGCAGGCCTCCTTCTCTTCATCAGCCTGCAGGACCCCACGGAGCTCGCCCCCCAGCAGGTGCCAGGTGAGCCTCACCTTCCCCGTGAGGGTGCAGACTGGCGTGCTGAGCACAGGCCCTCCAGCTGGAGGACACAAGGTCAAGTGTGTGCCAAGATCCCCAGCAGCCAGAGGAGGGGTCTTGGCTTCTGACTGGTGGGCTTCAGCCTCAGAGTGGCAATGCTTGTCTAAGGTCAGACCACCAGCCTCTGGGCTCTGGCCTTTGACCTCCAACTGGCACATAGCAATGGGGCAGCCTCTCTGGGGAGTGCTGTTTGATGGGGAGCCTGACCGTCTGTTCAGCGGTTGCTCCCCTTTGGTGAAACTCAGATTTAAGGAGGATTCTGCCACCTCTTGAGACCTGTTCTACATTGTCTGGGACACCTCCTTGAGCCCATGATTCCGAAGTGCCTTAGTCATCTGGGGCTGCTATAACAGAATTACCACAAGTGGATGGCTTTAACAAAGAGAAATTTGTTCTCTCACAGTCTAGGAAGCTAGAAGTCCAAATTCAGGGCGCCAGCTCCAGGGGAAGACTTTTTCTCTCTCTTGGCTCTGGAGGAAGGTCCTTGCCATCAATCTTCCCTGCTCTAGGAGCTTCTCAGCACAGGAACCTTGGGTCCAAAGGTCGTGCTCTGCTCCTGGCACTACTTTCTTGGTGGTATGAGGTCCCCCTGTCTCTCTGCTTGCTTCTCTCCTTTGTATCTCAAAAGAGATTGACTTAGGACACAACCTAATGTTGTAGATTGAGTCCTGCTTCATTAGCATAACTGCCTGTAATCTGGCCTCATTGACATAGAGGTAGGATTTACAACACATAGCAAAATCTGATCAGATGACAGAATGGTAGACAATCACACCATACTGGGAATCATGGGCTAACAAATTTGACACACATTTTGGGAGGACACATTTCAATCCATCACACCAAGTGTGACTTAATTTTCCTGCATAGCCCTGAGGATCCCTTGAGTCCAGCACTTCCAGCCTGGGCAGAGGGGTTGGGGTCCTCCTGGCTCTGTGAGACCGAGAGCTGCTCCTGCTGGTCCCCCACTGGCCCCCCACTGGCTTACCTCCTGTGCCATGGCAGAAGCTGCAGTCATCTGGGGGCAGGTGGTTTGCTGGGAGTGTAGAGAAGTGAGGGCAGAATGGGTGGTTCATTGCCTCGGGGCAGATGAAATGTGGGGAGGGGGCTCAGGCAAGCTCCCTGCCCGAAGGAACCTGCTGACACCGCTGGCACGCAGCCTCCTTTGAGCATGGTAGGGCTGGAGGTCAGCAGGCGTGGGGCCGAGGCCAAGGATCACCTGCTTTGGAGTGTGAGGAAAGCGTCATTCTCAGGCCAGAGCAGCAACATCTCTCAGCAGTGGCCCTGTGGACCTTGTTGGGAGGGTCCTTGAAGATACTTGCTTACAGCCCACGTCCTCCAGAACACGGATATGCCCGTGCACCCCCGGAGACTCCCTTCTCCCAAGGGACACACACACTCACATACACACACACACACACACACACACACACTCGTGCTCAGTGCTGTGAGCCAGGGGCAGCTGGAAAAGGGCAGTGGAGACCAGAGGTGCAGGCCGAGGGATTCCTGAGCCGTCCCTGCCTGCCTCCCACAGCACAGGCAGGTGGGCACCACACAGGCACGTGACCCCGTCCTCGGGCAGGGAGGAAAGAGCGCTGTCCTAGTTCCCAGGGCTGCTGGAACAAAAGGTCTCTGGGTGGCACAAATGGTTAAGCACTCGACCACTTGCTGAAAGGTTGATGGTTCGAACCCACGCAGCACCTCCTCAGAAGACAGGCCTGGTGATCTGCTTCTGAGAGGTCACAGCCTTGAAAACCCTAGGGAGGCGTTCTACTCTGCACACACTGAGTCGCCACTAGTCAGGATCAACTCGACGCCAGCCAACAACATCAGTTGTAACAAAGTTCCTCAAACTGGGTGACTTAGAAGAACAGAAATGTATCGTCTCACAGTTTTGGAGGCTAAGAGTCCAAATTCAGGGTGTTAGCAGGCCCATGTTCTCTTGGGAGGCTCTAGCGGAAGGTCCTTTCTCCCAGCTCCCGGTAGCCCGGTGGCCTTGGCTTACAGCTGCAACGTAACTCCATAGTCACGTGACTGTCTTCTCTCCCTCTGTCCCTTTTTTATAAAGGCACCGCTCAGATTGGCTTAGGACTTGTTATGACCTTGTATTAACTGATAACATCTCCAGAGATCATGTTCACAAGTCACGTGCACAAGTACCAGGTGTTAGAACTTCAACATATATATTTGGAGACACAGCTCAGTTTGTGACAGGTACCCTGGCCTGCAGGCTCCCTCCAGCTGTGCCCTCAGCTTTTACCCACCCACCCAGCAGTGCTGCTCCTCTGTCTCTGCTCCCGATTGCTTTGCTGCTGCAAACAGGTGTATTTGCCCGCTCTGGGTGGCCCTAGTGCAGACCAGGGGCCCAGATGCATGGGAGGGAAGGCAGGAGGAACACCAGGAGGCCAGAACTGGGGCCCTGCACCTCCCCTTCCCCCGCCCCTGGGCCTGGCAGCTGCCACCAGAGGCCGTTTGTTGGGGAGGCTGATGAGTGGATGCTTTCATCACAGACAGTGGGTCAGAGGCAGCTGAGGCGGGCGGGTGGCCCCCAGGGGACGGCAGGCGAGTCATCACTGCTGACTCCTGTCTGGGCTGAACCCTCACAGTTGTAGCTGTCAAAAGTGGGTCTGGCTGCTCCCCAGGCTTCCAAAGAAGCCAGCACACGTGACTGAGCTTGCTTCTGTGCGGGGACTCTGCAGCCTCCTGCAAGTGCCCCGGAGTAACCAGTGACACCCTGAGTCAGCAGAACCAGCCCTGCTGACCCCCGAGCCCCACAGGGCAGCACCATCAGGGAGGAGGAGAGCCGGTCCCCGTGGGTGGGTGTTAGCTGTGCTTAAGCAAACTCCAGAAGTGGCGCTCAGACACTGCTGAGACACGTGTCTGTATGCCCTTGGTGCGTGCCTGAGTGTGAGTGTGCATGCGTGGTGGTGGGGACATGGGCAGAGCGGCCACATGCATTGATGTCACTGTCAGTGCCTGCTGTGGAACAAGCCTGGGAGAGAAGGATGAGCGAGTCTGTGGTGTCCCCAGGAACGGGGACCACACGCCCAGCTGCAGTGCACATCAGGTGCAGGCGGGATGTTCCTGGGTAGGAGACTGTCCTACTGCACTGCAGCCAGCTGGCAAAGCAGAGTGCTGGCCTCTCCTTCTGCGGGCAGTGGGCTCCCATCCCTCACATCAGCTAGCATCTCTGAGTGCACGCTCCTGTGCACCACCCCCTCCCTGTTACCGGGATTCCTGCTGGAGTGCACTGCTTGGAGAAGTCTGGAGCCTCTGGTAGGGCAGGCATCTAGGATAGCCTAAAGCTGGGGTGAGCAGCCGCAGCAGCAGGGTGGCACCAGCCTTGCAGAACCAGGTAAGGAACACGCTTGGGTCCTGAGCCATGCCCTTTGACTGTGAGTGGTGCTGGACTGCCCTTGGCTGGTGCCAGGTGATGGGCAGACCTTCATCACATCAAACCACAGTCATAAAACTTTAAGTAATGCTTACGTTACTTTTCCTGAGCAAAGTACTCCTGACACAGGCTGTTTGTGTTGATTTGTTACTATTCATTTATCCTTCCCCTGTACTTCTCACAGCAGCCTAATTGTGATTCGGGACCAAGAAAGCAATATCAAAGTAATTTTCCACAACATTGGTTACAATTTTCTTCTGATCTTTCAAGTGAAACAATCCCATCCTGTTGGCTTCTCTGAACATATAAACTTTGATTACGTTTATCTGTTGGAAACCAGTGCTTACAAAGTATATGTGTCCAGCCTTCTCCCAGTGGATTTCTGCCGAGGGAGGTGCCGACACAGGGCTGCCCTGCCATCTAGGTCGGGAGAGGCCTCTCGGGGGCCCCCGTCTGCAGAGGAAATTCCACACGGGTCGCTCTGGCTTTCACTCTAGTGGAAAATTTCCTGCGAACCAAGTTCCCTGGGCTCTGCTGTTGGAGGCACTGACGCAGGCAGGAGAGTAGGGATGGGCTTGAGAAGGCAGGTGGGAGTTCTTAGATGCTTGTGATCCCTTGGGATCGGGACGTCTTTCCTATTTCTCCCATGCACCACCAGGTGTCAACAGGAAGCAGCAGCCCCTGGACGTCTCATGGACCAGTCAGCAAACCTCACCTGGCTTCATGCATAAGAAGGAATCTTAGGAGATTGCCAGGTTTTGTAAATCAAGCCATGTTTTTAAAAAGTTTTGCAATATTAAATTAAACTTTTTGAAACCTGAATAGCTACCCGTTAACTTACCTGCAGGGGTAGTGGTGGTTCAGTTGTAGGATTCTTGCCTTCCATGCTGGAGACCCAGGTTCGATTCCCAGCCAATGCGCCTCACACGCAGCCACCAACCATCTGTCAGTGGAGGCTTTTGTGTTGCTATGTTGCTAAACAGGTTTCAGCAGAGCTTCTGAACTAAGACAGATTAAAAAGAAAGACCTAGCCATCTACTTCCAAAAAATCAGCCAGCGAAAACCCTACAGATCCCCAAGTGTCCATCAATAGATGAATGGATAAACAAAGCGTAGTGTATACACATAATGGAATATTTCTCAGCCATAAAGAGAAATGAAGACCTGAGGCGTGCTACTACATGGATGAACCTTGAAGACATCAGGCTGCGTGAAATAAGTCCATCACAAAACGACAAATATTGTTATGATCTCACTTCTATGAAATAAGCAAATATCTAGAAATCAAAGATTATTAGTGATTACCTGGGGTGTGAGGGAGGGGAAAGGGGAGCTTTTTGCTTAGGGGGCATTGAGTTTTCTGTGAATGGTGGCAGAATAATTTGGAAAAGGATAGTCAGAATGGTTGTACAGCTTAAAAAATATAATCCGTGTCACTGAATTGTACATGTAGAAACTGGTGAGGTGGCATATGTTTTGTTATGTATATTTTCACCAAACAAAGCAACAACAGTAAAAAGACCCTCTGGATCACAGTGGTCCAATCCCG